TATATATATATATATATAGTGTGAGAGTGTGCTCTCATCCTCATAATAATCATAATCATAAACTGCATGTGACAGAGATAACCACGCTGTCGCCACCCATTGGTTTGCAGAGTCTCGTTTTAAAGTCTTGATTTTGCATTTTGGCGCTAAATTATCGGCACGCCACGTTATCTGACTTAAAGCAAACACTGTCACTGCTGATAGCTGCAGGAACTAAAAAAAGCTCACAGCTTCACAGTGAACATGTTTTTGGAGAAACTGAGAACTTGCCCTGTGGAGTTTTCTTGTATAAAAAAAGTGTGCATAGCCCAAACGTAATTTTATTTATTGATTGTTCTTTATTGTAAAATATTTGCAAAGCAAATTTAAAGTCTAATTATTACATTGATGTTGGCTTAATAACTTGAGTGCCTTTGCTGGTAGACTCCTCCTTTTGTTTGTGCCTCTTAGATCAGCAGACTTATCCAAAAACATTGGCAGGAATACGTGTCATGACACCTGCATGTACACATTTACATCCCGTGTTGATGCATTGTTTTGCACTTTGTAGCATCACTCCTGTATGGCACAGACATGTATGGTTAGTTTATCTTGTTATTCTGAATATGTGCCTTATACCGCCGAATCACTATACTTTATTAATCTTTGAGCAATTTAGGTGTGTATATAGTCTGATGACGAAAACTTAAACACACACACACTCGCACACAATATTATATACAAATATACAATATAAGTTACGCATGTTGAAACTGACAGGTGAAACAACTGAAAACGGAGATCATAACATCGCATTTGCAGGGGGGTGATTAGATGAACATAGTAAATACAAAAATCAAAGGAACTGAGATCTATATATTTTTCTAATAACATATAGATCTTAATCTGTTGGTGCAGATTGGCCCATGTGTTAAGGAGGATAAAGGGTACATATAGACATGCCATAAGTCATATTTATTTGTGTTTTCATTTAAGAAACCAAGAGAAAAAACTCCCACAAGATAATGTCAGAAATAGAGGCTATACGAACGCATTTTAGCATATGCATCACCTCTCAGCGTTCATGAGAAACAGGAAGCCAAGCAGAGAGGTGCTATGTTCTGAAAACTGTAGGTGAAAACATCTTCAAGGTTCTCACGGGACGTAAAAACCACAATTACCAGTGGTGAGGAGCTGCTGAAATGACAATTATACAAGCTCAGACTGCAAAATGGTTTCTTCTCACTTATGATGGGGGTAGAAACTTTACTGAGTTTTGTCTTCAGTGTGTGTGTGTGTGTGTGTGTGTGTGTGTGTGTGTGTGTGTGTGTGTGTGTGTGTGTGTGTGTGTGTGTGTGTGTGTACACAGGAAACAGTTTCAGGAATTTTTTTTTTAAAGCCTGTGGTTGTTTTTGACTTTTTCGTGTCTGTGCATTGCCACACACAAATGGTTTACCTCAGTATAGATCGACCACATGCCAAACCTGATCTGAAACCTTAACCAATAAATCAAATTTTCACCACTGCTGGTAAAATTGTGTCAACCAACAGACTAGTTTCTACCTTATTTTGCTGTTTCAGGTTGATGTACACTTTGTAAACAGTTTTTATACAGTGTTAATAATATGAATGACATAAGGATTTATTTATTTACACTGAGAAGCAGAAGATTAGCTTAGCATTTAAGTCTATAAATGGGGTAGGAGCTAGCTGAGGTCTATTCACAAGTAAAAGAAATATCCAGTTTTCTCTAAAGATCCATACTGAAAACATTTTAGTCAGGAAGCACAGTATCTGGTAAAAGTTTTCAACTGGGAAGTCCAGCAGCCACCTGTGCGGTGGAAATACGTAACAACATAGCTTTGCAGGTTAGCTGTGAACACAGGCTTGTACCAAATGAATGAGCAGAGCTCTGATGGTTCCTTCCCTGCTTCACAAGACATTTCCTGAATCGGTTGCTCTAGAATCACCTACCAAGTGAATGTGTACTTGTACAAGTGTACTTGTGAATTATGTGACATGCCTGCATACTCGTGTGGATCCTTGTGCCCACAGCTACGCCTCAGTCATGTGAAAAAGCGCCACACTGTGCAAATAGCAGTTTAAGTAAAAGGACAGAATTGTTATTATCAGGCAGAGTATGACAAACATAAGAATATCAACATTTTTTAAACTTAGTGGAGTATTAATATTAAAGTAAACTTCACCCAGGCACTCTCTCTCTGTGTTAGCCCTGTGTCAGACTGGTGACCTGTAGCTGGGATAGGCTCTAGCCCCACCGCGACTCTGATAAGGATAAGCAGATGAGAATGAATGGAAACTTATCCCAAATTAAAGTTTACCTAAATTAATCATGTGCCATGCTGTTGTTCAGGCTATTCTGTTGGAGCTGGTCACTTCCTGAGTCCTGCAAGTGTGGAGGTGGTGGGTGGAGCTCCACAATACAATCAGAGGGGAAAGGTAAGACCTACCTGACTTGCAATTGCTGCACCGCCAACCTTCGGCGCATCTTTGGTGCAGTGATGTAAAGATTTCTTATTTGTGTTATGTACAGCAGATGTGATGTTAAATTCAGTGACTGTGTGTATACACGGTGCAGGTCTTCATCTTTACAGTAGACAACAGTGTGCTACAGATTGTCGCCCAAGTCTCTGGAAAAGAGGTATGAAGCTCCTTAGCATTAATGCTCCCCATTCAAAGCAACCGCCTGCTTAGCACTTAGCTCATGTCTTTGTGTAGCTGGGATCCTACTTCGGCTCCAGTGTTTGTGCGGTGGACCTAAATGCCGATGGATTGTCAGACCTGTTGGTCGGTGCTCCGATGGCAACGGGCAACGTGAGAGAAGAAGGGAGAGTCCACGTGTACATCAACCAGGGGCAGGTAGGCAGGAACACTGAGCATGGTATTATTTTACTGTGATGCTCTGATGTGTTGATTGTTTCTGCTGTCAATCCTAATTTCACAGTTCCATACATCCATGTATAACGAGTAAAACTTTCCCTGAAGAGATGAAAACATCTGATTTATGTGACGCTATGAGGACGGGTCTTTGTGAATTATAAATAAAAGAACCTGATCGTGAACACAGACTTTATTTTCTTTCTTTCTTTACACTTTCTGAGATGACCTGTTAACGTGTCTTGTGTCCTTTCTCAGGCAAAGCTAGAGGAGCAGTTTCAGTTGACTGGCAGCAACGCCTACGCCGCCCGATTTGGAGAGAGCATCGCAGACCTGGGAGACCTGGATGACGATGGTTACCCTGGTAGGGATCACACGCCGACTGATCTAGAAGTTGTTTTTTTTTTTTTATTGGAGCAAGCTTTGGTATACACAACACTGCTGATACTACTACAACCAGAAGTACTGAATATGTGACAGTTAATGCTAGAAGTTTATAAAATCTTCCTTCTTATGCTTCTGAAGACTACTTCTCCTATAAATACTTTTAGTATTAAAAATACATTAAAGGAAATATATATACCAGTAAAAATAAAGATAAATCCTGATGGCAGTACTATTGCAAAATGTAAATATCCCCTTAACTGTCTTAGTGCAAAAAACGTGAAGTCTAAGTAACTGTTGCTTCAGATACTACTAGTCCCACTGCTAATATTACTGCTGGCGAACCTGCCTGCAAGTACTATAACTATTCCTAGTACTACAAATAACAGAAGATTTTGTACTGCGAATAAGTACTATACTTAAACGACTCCTGCTTTTACTGTTTCTGCTCTAGCTACTGCTAACAGCACATGCTCTGCTGTTGCTTCAGTAGCTGTCACAGTAGCACAAAACCCACAGTGAGCAGCTGTGGGTTCACTTGTGTGCTCCAGGGCACCTTGAGAGTGGTAATTAGAGAGCTGCTCTCTTTACTTTCTGCACAGATCTACTGCATTAGCACAAACATTAGAAATGCTACTACATTACTTAACTGGCTGTTGAGCTACATAACAGAAGAACATGCATGTAGTGATGATGTATTTTAGGTGCCTTACAAGCCAACCAACTACTTGAGACTTCCTGATAAGTAACACAACGCCCTAACACATACATCAAGACCCCTACCTTCTGTGTGTTTGTGTGTGTCTGTGTGTGTGTTTGTACGTGTGTGTGTGTTTGTGAGAGGGGTGGAGGGTGTTATTATGTTCATTAAACGTTAATGACATACTGTTGTTGCTCTGTAACTGAACATGCCCTCTAATCTGCCACAGCTAGATAAAAGGGTGTGTGTGTACCCATGGTCTGGGGACACACTGTATCTGTTCACTAACACACACACACACACACACACACACACACTCACAGGGTGGACCCACCTAACTTTTGGAGAAAAAAGGAAAAGTTATAGTCATGAAATTTTACTATGAAGACTGATTTCAAGTTTAGCGTTACAGTAAACTAGGAAATATTGTAAGGCAAGAAATAAATGTAAATCAGTGTGCTGATGGCTGAAACAATGGAAGTATCTCTGACTGCATTAGTGTGTCCATGACCTCAACATTTTAAGGATACTTTAGTTAAATATTAAAAGACCATACTAGTGTTTACTCATGTTTATATACTCTTGCATACTTTTATCCATCTGAAAAAACAAGAAAGGACAAAAATTACCCTGTGAATTTAAAAATTAGTTTGTTAAAACGTGTGAAAATTTTATGTAAAAAGTCACAAGAACCAACGACTACTTTGAAGAAAAGAAATCAAAGATGAGGTTAGGCTGAAACAGTGCTGTGAAAAACTATTTGTCCCATCCTAAAGATAACCAGAGTAAATACAAATGCAGATTTTAAAATATGGTTCATTTCACAGCGGTTTCACACACACAAAATCTGGACTCAAATCTGATTGAGATGCTTTGGCTGTTCGTGCTTCAAAACCCTCCAGTGTATTCTGAATAAATCTGACACTTTGAGGTTCTGCAAAGAAGAGTGGATCGAAATTCCTCCACATTGATGTGAAAGACTCATTGCCAATTGCTTGACTGCAGTTCTTGCTGCCAGTTATAAGGCTTAGGGAGCAATTACTTGTTCACATAAAGTAAGTTTGGATAAATTTTTTCCTTTATTAAATTAAATCATAATTTATGTTAAAAACAAACTATATTTTAGGTTTATTCAGGTTTTCTCTGACTAATATTACAATCTCTTTGATGATCTGAAAAAGTTAAGTACAAAAGTGTAAAAATAAAAAAGACAGAAATCAGGAAGGGGATGAACACTTTTTCATGGCACTGTAGGTTGGTGACAAGTGAAAACAAGAATCCTTTCAAGTATATAAATACAAAATTGTGTGTGTGTGTGTGTGTGTGTGTGTGTGTGTGTGTGTGTGTGTGTGTGTGTGTGTGTGTGTGTAGATGTGGCGATTGGTGCTCCACATGAAGACGACCTTAAAGGAGCTGTGTACATCTACAACGGCAGAAAAGAGGGCATCTCATCAACTCCATCCCAGGTACAAACTGAGCAAAAACCTCCAGGGATGAAAAAAAGAAAAACTGCAGGTTCTCAAATGAAACAAGATATGAATGTCCCAATTTTACAACAGAAGTAAACATGTTTTCAGCTTGGTACAAAACAAGGTTTTGTTCTCTAAATGTAATTCCCCCAAGAAGTATCTGGGCAAATTGTTATATAACTCACCTGTTTAATTTAGAGAATAACGTGTATGTGGGGGACTTACCTGTCTTTAAGTGACAGGCAAGGGCTATAATGAGGATGACGGGCAGGTAAAAATATCACTTACTTACTTTTTACTTACCAGTGCAATAACACGTCTAACAAAAATGCAAAATCTGACCTGATCCCCTTGCAGTCATAGCTCAAAGAGAGATTCATAAATAATTAAATACAATAGATAAAAAATAGAAGAGAAAAGTAGCACAGATCCAAGAGTTAAAGCTATGAATTTGTAGTGACTGGACAAATCAAACCAAGACAAATGATCTATTCTTTCTTTAAGACTGAGATCAGTAAAAAATCAGAAAAGATATTAACAGAATAATAACCAGTGTGGGAGTTATACTAATGATAAATCCCCCCAAAGTATAAGAATATTATGAGACATTTTTTGGCCTTTTTAAAAAAACAGACACAGAAATGGATTAGGGGAAGAAATGCAGCAAAGGGCCACTGGCTGCTATATTTGGCCTTTTGGCATACTTGCCTGCACATGCTTACATTAGTACTTATATCCTCCTGTGCTTTTAAGTAATATCATTACACCAGCTTTCATGGTATACCTACCATTGTGCTTTCAGAGGATTACTGGATCCACCCTTGGCCATGACCTCAGGATGTTCGGGCAGTCGCTGAGCTCTGGCATTGACATTGACGATAACGGTTACAGGGGTAAACAATTCTGTGCCAAAACTTCTGCCATATTTGTTTCATTAGATCGTTTTAAGCAGGCTGAACCCGCTCTGTCTCTGCAGATGTGGCAGTTGGTGCGTTCCTTTCTGACTCAGCCGTGGTTCTCAGGTAAGTCGTCACTGAAGCTTCCTGTTGAAACTTTACCCAAAAAGACTCCATCTGTAGTTACCCTCTTCTCATAGTAGTGAACAGGAATGTTTTTTTAATGTATGTAGTGTGCAAGAGAACCAAAAGTGTCCCAACATCTGTGGAAAATAAGGTGAAAATAACAAAATCCTCCTGCTTTATTTGTTTTCAGTTGTTTTCAGTGATTCATAAACCCCAGTCTGCATGCTGTGATAATTTCTCTGACTGTGTGCTTGTGCTGCAGGACCCGTCCAGTGATTCAAGTGAACGCGTCTTTGATCCTGCCGGAGCAGATCGACGATCGGATGCCGCTGTGCCGAGAGCTCAAGCATCCAGCTCCCTGCTTTAACGTTACCATCTGCTTCAGTGTCCAGTCCAGACATTTCAGGGGGCACATAGGTACTGCCCTAATTGCACCTCTTTAGTGTATTATCTGTTAATTTATAAAATTTAAAAGCTACCTATGTTTAAAAGTAAACACCAATCAAGCACATCATTAGAGTCAGTGACAGCAGGTGGATGTTACTCACCGAAACACTCCACAGCAGCAACCGTCCCCAGTGGCACCCAAAGCCTAAGCAGAGAAATCCAAATGTCCCCTCTCCCCAGCCACCTCCTCCAGCTCATCCAGGGAAACGTCGAGGGTTTCCCAGCCCAGCTGAGAGATATAAACTGTACATTAATCTCTGGCTCTCTTCCGCAGCGTGTCTTTAGTCCCCACACCCCCAACTGGTCACAGCAAATGCTTGCCACACCCTGAGCCTGGTTCTACTGGAGGTTTCTTCCTGTTAAAAAGGATTTTTTCCTTCCCACTGTCGCCAAGTGCATCTGATAGCTGGGGTTTTCTCTTTATTATTGTAGAGTCTTTACCTTACAGTTTTTAAATTAATAATTGTGCAGCATGCCCTAGGGCTACCCCTGGGCCTCCTCCTGGAAGAACATGTCCTCAGCAACGCCTCTCCCGGGAGGCGCTGAGGAGGCCTCTTAGTCAAATGTCCAATCCACCTCAACTGCCTCCTTTCAGTGTGGAGGAGTAGCAGCTCTACTCTGAGCCACTGTCGAGTGTCTGAATTCCTGACCTTATCTTTAAGGGAGAGGCCAGTCTCATTTTCGTCATGTCTCCTTCACTGTGCAGCTCTTGTGACCATTGGTGAGGGTGGGGACATAGATTAACTGGTAAATTGACAGCTTTACTTTTCCGCTCATCTGAACATCTCATAAAAGAATGTAGTGGTCAGCTTTATGTAATCGGTCACCCAAAGCTGCAGAGTCACACTCCTACTGTCCTTATCGTAAAATACATAAATGCAACCCTCCAGGCGTTTTCTCTTTCTCCCTCTATCCTCTTCTACAACAGCAATGTGCCTAATTGCAGTTTCAGTGCTGGGATTGGATGATAGCTTCTCCAAATGGCAACATTTGTTTTGCATAAAGTGTACAGCCTGATTTTTGAAAGTTGTTTCTCTCTTCTCTTTTTCAGATCTTCAATATAATCTGACCTCTGACCTCCTCCATAAACCGTCCTTCCCACCTCGGTTCTATTTCCACGGTAACGGATCGTCCAATATCACAAATGAGCGTGTACGAGCACGACAGGGGCATCTCACTTGTGTGGCCCATGTGGCTTACCAAAGGGTAATATACTCACCCACTGTCTATTTTGGGCATATTAACATATGATGCACTGATTGGATTAACAGCAGTGATGCTAAAATGTTCATCTTTCCTCCTCTGAACCCTTTTTCTTTCCTCCAACAGAAAGATGTGAGGGACATTTTCACTCCGGTTCAGTTTGTGGTTTCTTACAGTCTCAGGGAGACAAACAGCCGCAGAGCCTCTTCCACATCCTTCCCTCCCTTAAAACCCATTCTGCAGCGGAGCGCAGGACACCGCAACACCATCACCAGCCAGGTACCAAGCTAGCGTACAAAGAACCAGCAAATAACAGCTAGAACAGCCCATCATGCACACAGTAATCAATATCTATATTTATAAATCTGCTCTAAATAAAAATGAAAAATTTCTACTTGCAGTTACAACACAATGAATTAGCTTAATCAGCTATAAAAGCATAGACGCATAGGTTTAGCATACTGCTAAACTAACACATTAAGCCATCTGCAAATTATTATTTTTTATCTTTGTTCGACCTTTGTGTATCAACAAACTTTGTGTATCGCCTATCCAGATGTGCTTTCAGCTGCATCTCAGCACATTAACACCCTCCTGCTGTGTGCGTCCCCCACATGTTGCTCACACTCATAAAGCAGTGCAGGAACAGTTTACAAGTAGGAATTCACAGGTGGAGTTAGTCATCAGAGGGTTTTTATTGAACCTCTCAAGTTGTTTGATGTTATTTGTCAGTGCGCCCCAGGGCAGCTGTGGCTACAGTGTAGCTTGCCGTCACCAGTGTGTGAATGCGTGTGTGAATGGGTGAATGACTGAATGTAGTGTAAAGCACTTTGGGGTCCTTAAGGACTGAGTAAAGTGCTATACAAATGCAGGCCATTTACCATTTATCACTGAAGTAACACGATCGAAATGTTTATTTATTCTCACGGCTGCCGCTAACCTGGTGCTTCTTTTCTTTCTCTCAGACTCATTTTGCTCGTTCCTGCTCCCTGGTGAACTGTTCGACAAACATGCAGCTGTCAGCTCATCTAGTGCTCCCACAGTAAGATCTCTCACACACACACACACTGCAGGGAGCTGTGTGTGAATGACAAAAAAAACAACAACAGGGAAACAACCGGAATATACGTGAAAAAAAAAGAAAAAAGGATATCAAGCTGTTGTGTTTGCATATTTTTGTGTAGAGAATGAATGTGTGCTGTATGCTGTTGTAATTAGTAAGTGCCAGAATTGCTGGTTATATTCAGCTTCACACTTTGGGCTCCTGAGATCAAACTGTAAAAATCTGCAAGTTAAAACCAAAAAAGAAATCAAAAGTATTTCAACAGTAGAGAAAGTTTGATTCTGAGCGATGCTTGTTGTTTGTCGTGTTTGTCTTCAGTCAGCAGGAGTACTTTGCGCTGGGATCCGGGCAGACTATCATGTTGAAAGCCTCACTGCTGAACTCTGGAGATGACGCCTTCCTGCCACGACTGACGCTACGGTTGCCCAGCAACATCCACTACATTAAAGTACTGCAAAATGTGAGTCAAACTTTCAGATACCCTCTCTACTTTTAAGATTTGGCTTAAATGTTTCCTTTTTAACAAAGCTTATAGTGAGGGCTGGATCAGGTGACCCTGAATACTCCCTTAGTTAAATTGCAATAGGTTTAGGGAGGGGTTCCCATAATGCACCAAGTGTTTTTCTTTACACACCTCACCTCTCTCACTCTTTATGTGTTTATACACAATTTTGCATCGGTTACTAATTTTAATCTCTTATGCCTGGTTTCTTCCTGTTAAAGGGGAGTTTTTCCTTCCCACTGTCGCCAAGTCTGATTTCTTGTTCTGATTGTTCGATTTTCTCTCTTTTACTGTAGGGTCTTCACAAAGAACCTTGAGGCAACCATTGTTGTGATTTGAAGCTATATAAATAAAACTGAACTGAATCAATAGATAAAATGGTGTGTAGCTTGTGTGTTTCAGGGTCATTGTCAGGGCTGTTTTTAGGGCAGAAAAACATACCTACCGTCATGTATGTACTCCTAAATGGTCCTGGCTGAGTAAGCTGCCAGAGGTGGATGCTGATTGGGTAAAATGAGAAAAAAGTGCCATCATTCTTAGAAAAACAGAACTCTATTTGAGAACCTAGATGAAGATGAACAGCAGACTGCTGCTCTCTTAGATAGTGTCATCAGCAACCATAGGCAGATACAATGGACAGCAGTATGTTTCATGGCTGGTCTTACAGTTAAAACTGCTGTGTAAACAGGCAGTCACACAACTGTTAAATGATCATTGTCAAAATTATAATACATAACAACACCAAAACAAGTCTGCTTCTCTTCAACCAGGAGGACAATGTGGTCAGATGTGATGTCACACAGGAAGTTAATGATACAACAGTGGGTGTTGACTGCAGTGTGACCAACTTCCTCCTTCCAGCGCACACCCAGGTAAGCCCGAGCTAATTGGAGGTAATCACACACTGATCACTTACTAAAATTATGAGGAACCTGAATGTCGTGCTCCAGCCAGCTATTATGGGTCCTCAACTTCCTGTGGTCCACATATCAAAGGTCAAAGCGGGTTCTTGTGCTTTCAGTTCTCTATTTTTCCTCGACTTATCTGTTTAAAATATTGCAAAACGATCTGGTGAAATGGACCGCAGCTGGTTTAGAGTAGAGATTCCTGTATTGTGTAAAAAAGTTCTAGCAGCAAAAATCATAAAGAAGGAAGATGTTAAGTAATGTTTTTTTCTTGTAGCTGAATATCAGCTTTCTGTTGGATGTCAACCAGAACAGCACACCTGGACAAAACCTCATTCACGTCAACACCAGCAGGTAAATCTCCTCCGCTCACCTCATCATTTTTCTGAGGTGAGCGGGCACCTCACCTATGACAGTAAAGCAAACAAATGTATGAAGATAAAGTGTTATTGAAAAAGGAGTATGCAGAATGCAGATTAATGTGAACATTTAAGAAGAAGAAGAAACAATAATGAATATGAAATAGCTTTATAGACTTTTAAACCTTGAATCAAAATCAGGGAGTAAAAATATGTGAAATTTATTTTCTCTGCAGTGATAACTATGAGAGGAGGGAATATCTCCATGACAACTCCATCAGCCTCACCCTTCCTCTCAAATATGGAGTCAATGTGAACATCCACGGGTGAGCTCACCTTGTTGTGCATTACTATTATTTGCTTTTTTGGGGTGTTTTTTTTAACCATGTCAGTGAAATTCATGTGAACAACATTTTTTCCTCAGAGTTAAATATGTTAAATATGTCCTTTATTTCTATAAAGGACATATTTAACTCCGGAGAACTAATCCCAATGCTTTCTGTCTGCCTGTTTACAGTTTTGTGACTCCCTCCTCTTTTGAAGTTAGAGATGAAGACTTGATTTCCACTAACTGCTATTCAGAAAGCTTCAATTACACATACAAGGTAGGTCAGCCTGATTCAGAGGGTTTTTTTTTTTTCATATGTGATCAGACAGGATGCAAACACACTTCTGGATGCTTTAAATACCAAACAAGCAAAACAGTAACAGATGGAGCTCATTGAGGTTAAATTTAACATTTGACTTTGGTAGACTTGTATGCATTTGCAGACAGTTTGATTTATGTGTATGTCTGCCTGTATGTATGTTATAGTAATACAAAAAACATTGAGTCTGTTCTGTTAAAACATGTCACTGAGCTGAGGCAGTATAACATTATAATACGATATTTTCCAATTTTTTTTCCATTTTATCCTGATTAAACAACAGAGAGCACATAAATGATACTGTTTATGTCAAAATTTGATTTTGTGACCAGGACAATAAAAAGCTACTTTCGGCTGCTCCCATATTCACAAGGGATCGTCACACAGTGCAGCTCTGTGTGTTTGATTTAGGCAGATTTTTAATGCCGGATCTTCTCGTGAGAGCAAACAATGATCTTTTTTTAAGCAAATTTAAACCAATACACCATGACAAGCTTTATTGCTGATCACAAACGCAAAGTTTAAAGAGAACTAGAAAAATTTGCATTTCCTGCAAAAATGCTGTGTGGATGCTGTAACGCTGAAGCTGTCTGCTAAAAATAGCCGAAAAAGCTGAAAAGTAGCAAAACATTGTAATAACTTTGCAGAAGCATAAGAACTTAGCAAAAATGTAATTACTTAGCAGAACTGCAATAACGTAAAGAAAACATAATATTGGCAGAAATACAATAACATAGCAGAACTTAGCAGAAATATTGTAAATATTATATATATAAATATATTAAAAAAAACCTATATAAATATGACATATTATATGTGTACTGGCAGCACGGTGGCATAATGGTTAGCACTGATGCCAAGAAGAAGAGCAAGAAGGTCCTGAGTTTGACTCCACCATCTCCACCCACACACACACACAACCCTGATAAGCAGAAAAGGATGGATGGACTTATGTACTGAGTTTAAGAAGAGTTAGATGTCTCAAGGTGGGATGTTGTGACACACAGAAGTGTCACGACATTAGTTGCATGACCAAACTTATTTATTTAAGAATGTAGGTCAGCAAATGAGGAAACACAGAGATCACGGTGCGAGTTCTGTGTGTCACGGCACTTTCAACAGCATATAGTCAAAGAAAATGGAATAGAAGAATGACTAGTTTGGCCAAAATAAAAAATATATGCAGCTGTCCAAAAATACAATTTCATATGTGAAGCTAAAACTTCACAGCAAGTCCAATTTCATCAACACTGGTTGGAGAGTTTAGGAAAGTGGTCATCTGTAAGTTGGTCATTTCTGGTTTCAATTAGGAACCTTTGGTCTTAGTAGTAGTAGCACATCATGAAAACTGGAGCCAATCAACAATTTTTTAGCAACTCTTTAAAGGGAAGTGTTCAGAACCAAACAGGAAGTTGTTGCTATGTTTGTGCTCATTTGGTTTACTTTCACTGGTGCCCACACATCAAAAGGTGAAAAAGCGCAACGTAAATAAACAGGGCTCTTGATATGAACACGTCCTTGCCTTAGAGAGTCTCAGCATCTTGTTCCATCTCCTTGCAGGTGTTAAACTCCGGTCCCAGCAGGTCAGTCGACACTGTGGTTGAAATTGCGCTGCCAAAGATCCTCACACCTTACCGTCACAGGCTGTTGCAAGTGGTCGATTGGCAGGTACATCAACACAAACATCGGCAGTGGGTTTGACACTTAGGTTCTGTGTGATTTCTCATGTGTCATGGCTGGAATTGAGGTGAAACAAGCCAAGAGCGTGAGAAAAGTTATTCGTAAATGGCGACAGAACAGACCGTACTAACACATGAATTCTCTCTGCAGTCGTCTCAAGGCGTGTGTTACATCAGTGACACAACTGTTTCAGTCATCGACGACTGCGACGCCCCTCAAGCTTCCTTCATCAAACAACTCATCTTCTTCTTTTCGCCCACCTCCACCCGTAGAATGGTACGCAAACACAGACACACACACACACATAAAATGTAGTCTCTCAGATATAGCTTATGCAAGGGTGCAAACTTTAATTTTGTTCTCTATGTTCAGTTTTGTGGCCGCACCGATAAGGCTTGTGAGTGGTTAGTGTGTTGCCTTGGTAATTTGGAGGCGGGGAGAGAGGTCACCATCCAACTGGAAGCCAACCTGAATCCTGCCGTACTACGGCAAGCTCCGGTAACACACTCGCACGCAGGCAACTGATTTCACTGCATTTTGCCAGAGTTTCTGGTCCCTGATGCCTTTCTCTGTGTCTCAGGGTCGCCATGGGATCATGATCCTGGAAAGCATGGCAGTGATGTCATCACCTAAACAAGATAATAACACCATCCTGATCCAGGATCATCCTGTAGCACAGGTAAAACTCCCCTGCAGCCAATCAGAACACACTGCTGTGTGATCCGAGAGTCTGGGCTTCACAGTTGCCGTGGTGCAGCAATGTTAAAGATGTATGTTGCACATTTCCAGGTATTGGTGGAAGCAGTTTTTACCCAGAAACCCTCAGCGATGGTGAAAATCTTCATTGTCGTTGTCAGTTTAGCCGTGGGGTTAACAATCCTGGCAGCTCTCATCTGGTGTCTGTGGAAGGTACTCAATTTTTGTCTTTCAACATAAACTCATTTTTGTGACAATTCTCCCAGCAATAACTGGTGTATTTTAACAATCTACCATCTTGTAAAATATCATGGCTCAGTTCTGCGGTACTGACCAACCACATTATGTTACAGTTTAATGTTTGCAGTTGATACACAGGCTTCACCTTTTCTTCTTCTCTTTGTCCATCAGGCTGGATTCTTCAAGAGAGAATTACATCATAAGGAGGATGAGTTCAACAGAGACAGCTGGGACTTCGTTCCCAAGCACAGCAAAAGAGAAAGCACTACCTAACCCAGATTGTTCTCTCTGCCCGTGATCTGACCCCAAGGTGGAGTTCACATTGTACCTATGAAAGAGTGTTCATCATGCCTCAGTCTTACTGCAGCACTGTGAACGTCATCGGTCAGTGAAATCCGCCTACGCTCCGAGGGTTTGAGTCTAACACGTGACAGTGAACGCCTCCTGAATCTGACTGTGACCTTTTAAACTATTTTGCCGACATGCTTTCACAAAAAGGAACCAGAGAAATCCAAAGACCTGAAAGAAAAAAGACTGCAGCGTTCGATGGATAGAGGATTAATTAAAAGGGAAGTGAACCGGAAGTCATCAAATCTGAACCAATCGGAAAGCCTTGGAGCTTCCTGGGATTAATGACCTTCATTTTGACTCTTCTTTTTAGGAGAAAACAAAACAAAGAACATCACTTTCTATGATCTCAGGTGATTTAAACTTTGCCTCTGATTGGCTCGTAGCTCTGGGAAACCTTCCTTTTGTCTGGGTAACTTATTTTCTGAATTTTGTTCACCTGCTGACCAACACACACACACACACACACACACACACACACACACACACACACACACACACACACACAAACACACAAAGAGCTAACTCACTGGCTGTGCTGCATCATTTGACGCCTGTGGCACACACTGGATGTCGTCCAGCTGGAGGAAGAAGGTGATGGCTGCTGGGATTTGCTGGTAACAGGGGTGATCACTCCGTTTTTTGGCTCCCACTATTTGTTTTGGGATGTGTCTCCTCTGCTTAAACCAGCAAATTTTTATGGCACAATCAGCTCATCTGATGCAAATCCACACATTTTTGTTTTGCACAAAGTTAGTTCACTGAGCCAGCAATGTTGACCACTGGCTGGATACTCCAACGTGGAGGACATGATCAGCTTATTAGCGCTATCTGTTTTTACCTACCCTCTTGCTTTTGCAAACTGCTTCACAATAGAGGAAACTGAGGGCAGTTTTGATGTAGGATTAATAGAAATTTCAGGGCAGAGGATTGAAAAATGAGCAGAATGCAGGATCTTTCTACAGTGAATCCTCCACTGTGCTGCCTCCTGGTGCTATGGTTCCTTAACCTCCCCGTGAGCCTGATTTCACACTTGTTTACAGTTTCTCTGATGCTTTGGAAGCCATTCAGGGAAGAAGAAAACAGGAAGCCATGCTGGTATGTGGAGGGAAAAACAATGAAAACAATGTACAGCCAGATCAGCACAAGTGCACCACGCAGGGCAGCTAGAAATGAGCATTTCTCCTCCACTCCTCCTCCTTTTGGGCCCAGGAGGGTCAAACACACAGAATCAAACATAATGAGGCATGAAGGCTCTTTTAATGTGGTAACAATCACAATGTGATGCCCATGAAAAAGTTTGTCCTGTGGGAGTTCTTTAAATTAAAATTAATACAAATAAAACAAGAGAGGAAAAAAACATAAACGTGATGCATTTTAAATAAAGCACATTTAAGGTTAACCACTCCTACCAGTGTGAGGTAGGTGGGAGGCCTAATGATCTTCTGAACAAACACATCACAAACACTAAGTAAACATGTTTGATGTGGTCAGTTTTCTCAGTCATACTTCCTAAAATTGACACCTGGGCTTTTTAAACTGATAACTTGTTGGTTCAAGTAATACATTAAAAAAAAAAAAAAGCATTGTGTTAACGGTCTCCATTTAGACTGTTCACTTAGCTGCTGCCCTCCACTCCGGTGTGTGTTTAATACAAATGCACCTCACAGATTCACACTGAGTGTTTTAATATTTTAATAAGTGACTTTGATGTTCTTATGTGAAGTTGTTCTGCACTGGAGAGTCTCACTGCTTTTAGCAACACTTTTCTATTAAAATAAAGGATTTTCTATTTAAACAGCTTGATTTTTATACTTTATTCCAGTCGCAGTATGATTTGAGTCAAAATGAGAATCTACATGCATACATCAGGTCTGTTTTTGCTTCACCATCGTCTGCACAGATAGAAAAGTCACCTATTAATACCTTTATTCAAACATGAACCCTTTGGGAAGTGAAATAAACTGGATTTTGAACACAAATTAAACAAGTTTGTTCTCTGCCACAGAAACAAAAACTGGATGTAAAAAAGCAACATATGAAATTAAAGTCGCATGATCTGAGAGAAATGGGTAATGAAACTGTAGTAAATTGTAAACATTAAACCATTTTTATGTGCATTGGTCAGTTCTGCAGCTGATACATGAATAAAACTTACAAAATATTCACATTATACTTTGATAAAAAGAATATAAAATTAATACAGCTTTAAAGTAAAGGAGCTTTTTTATTTTATTTATTTTTCCTCTATGAATATATCGTTAAAATCATGGGCGGATGACCAAAGTTTCAAATTGTGAGTTCAGAGTCTGTACAAAGAGCACTGTTGAGTCATTTTGGTTACCGTGGTGAGTGTCACACAGATCAGCGCCCCCTTGTTGTTCTCAGATGCAGCTGCAGGAGACAGATGACTCGGCCTCTTCCACCTCCTCGCCGTACAGAGTGATGAGTCTTGGGTGGACTCTGAATGCACCACAAAGACATACAGAAACACAGACACACAGTCAGATGGATATTAAGGACCTGCAGACATGTTGCTATGGTTGCAGGAGCATGGCCTGATTGGTATTGATGTAAGTGTCACAGAATGTAAAAAAACAAACACAGTGTGAGCTCCAGGACAAGGAGACCAGTCAGTCGCTTGGTACTGTGAAAAATGAAACCAATTGCATCGTGGATCAAAATCTGCTGGTACTTTTCTTCATTATTTCATCAATTTTTGCACTTAAACTGAGACCATTTCAAATGAGGCTTCAGTGAGCAGCAGATGGATCGGATGCATTTTCAGGTCTTTGCTAAATTTTTCCATTTCTTTCGATGAATTTCAACATGACTTTCAGATCATGTTATCTGTTTTTTAGGCCGGTCACTTCTTCTTTTGTCTTCCGTTTGTCCAGTTTCCTCAAATCTTTTAAGAACTCACTGAACATCATACTGAAATTACGGAAGAGGATTAGGACGACTGGAAAAAAAAAAAAGTAGGCTCGTCTTTTTTTCTTCTTTTTTTTTTCAGAATTCTGACTTTAATTTCAGAATTCTGGGGAAAAAAAGTGCCTAATCTTTTCCAGTTTCCCTAATCCTCTTCCAATCATACCAAGTTTGTGGCTAATATCTCTTTGACAATCATCATGTTGGTGCAAAATTATTATTTCGTGCTAAGTTGTCTGTTATGTGTAGACACAACATGGATTCAGCCCTTGTGTTAGGTCCCTTTTTATGTTTGAAAGATTCATAAATCACTGTTAATGTTTTAAAAAAAAAAAACAAGATACCTCTGAAAAGGATGAGGTACAAGGACTGGACTGAAAATAAATGAAAGAGCAGCCATTGTCCAAAATAATATTAATAATAATTATCATTATCATTATCCTCTATATTTACCTCTTCTTGCTGTATTTTATTGATCTGAACTAAAAGGAAAAATGGTGCCTTGATCATCAATAATCAGTGCTTGAATTAATCAATTCAGAGTAATTCCTCTGTCCGTAATGATTGTATTATCTGGATATATTTTTAATAACGAAGGCGTGAGCGTCCCACCTGATGAGCACTTCATTAGCAATTTCCACCAGCTCTCCGTCGATGTTCCAGGGGAAGGTTGTTCCTTCTGCATGGATGAAGGGTGTGGTTTTCAAGTCACTCTCCTCTTCACTCTCATCCTCAGAACAGCCAATCAGTGAGCAGGGGCGGATCTTCACTGCTGACACAGCATGCGTCTCCACAAAGGAGAAGTTGAACTGCACACAGATAATCAGTCAGAGCTTTGTCTGTCTGTCTGTCTGTGTGTGTGTGTGTGTGTGTGTGTGTGTGTGTGTGTGTGTGTGTGTGTGTTAAAGCTGAGCTGATGAGGTCAGAAAGAGCCATTAAGATCTCCGTTAAGCAGCTTGTTAGAGAGCAGCAGGATCTGTCTGTGGTTCTTCCGGTCCACTGTCCTCTGCTGTGAGGCTCCAACAGGGGGCAGCAAAGACCAGCTGACTGTCCCACTGTCTGTCTGTCTGTCTGTCTGCTGTCCTCTCCTGCAGGTTTGCGCTTTCTTAAAGTAAAGCCGTTCTTATAGGACAGATTAACATCTATCTTAAAACAAGAGCCCAGAGGATTCCAGTACTGTCCTTAAATACACACTTGATTTAACTTCACGAGACTGTGAATTGTAGAGAGAAATATTTTACAACTCCACTACGCCTAATTGATGGCTTAAAATTTTCCTCTAGCAGTTTCTAATATTTTGTCTATTTGATCATATGAATTTGAATTTATTGCATCTCATTAAAGAGGGAGGCCCACATTTTCAGCTTTTTTTAATAGATCAAAGCAAACAAAGGATATGATTAATTGAGCATGGAAATATCCAGCAGGTTAATGTATAATTGCAGCTCCACTTCAATTTAATGCTGCTTCAATACCAACACACAGGAAGATTTGCACCAAAAAGCACTGAAACTTTAAAATTATTTTGATAAAATCATCAGATTAATAAAGGTGTATTCAGTTTTTCACACACTCTACATCACACAAGTGACAGGAGAGGTTTAAAGTCCACAGTAGGACATAAACTGTAAGGGTCACATGTGGGCAGCTCCACTTGAGCATCCACTTTTGCCGTGCTTTCTGCTGAGATGTCAGGACGGACGCTAGCAGGATGTAGGCCAGTCAGTAAACAGCCTGTTTACTCCAAGTCTGAACACCACACTGCCCGTATATTTAGTAAGTGGGTTAGTGTGCAGTCTCTCTGCCCAGACCAGGTCATGCTGAACCAGGCTAATCTACTCACTAACTTCAAGGAAAACTGCGGTATTTTTAAAACTGGGACCTACTTTCCCATCTTCTAGAGCAGGGCTGCCCAATCCCAGTCCTTGAGAGCTACTATCCTGCAGCTTTTAGATGCATCCCTACTCCAACACAGCTGAATCAAATGGTTTGATTACCTCTTCAGCATGCCATCATGTTTGGCAAAGGCCTGATAACAAGCCATTCATTTGATTCGGGCGTGTAGGAACAAGGATGCATCTAAAAGCTGCAGGACGGTAGCTCTCGAGGACCGGGATTGGGCACCCCTGTTCTAGAGTCTTTAGGTGTTGTGAACGTTGAGGGATTGTGGTATAATCAACAGCCATTAATCGACTGTAACACAATCACAAAATTGTCCCGAGTCAAAGTGCTTGTGTGACCCTGAAGTCAAGAGTGAGTTCCCACGACAATAAATTGCTCTCTTCGGTGGAAAACATCCGGGTGGAAACATATATAACAGCTGAGGCTGTCATCAGCATAATCTACACACTGCACCAGCTCTGTGCAATTAAACTAAGCCCATCATGATAACATCAACATGTCGTCTTTGCTTTTCTTGCACAGTAGAGTTTAACTGACGCACAATGTCCACTCAGAACAGTCTTGGAAGTGTTGATTTCTGCAGGTTTTTGTGTGTTTTTAGTTTATTTTCTTGTGTACAAAGATTTGCCCCATTTTTAAAAATTCTTTTAATAGTAATATGTACTGTAGATGATGAAATCCATAAATCATTTGCAATTTCACAATGAGAAATTGCAAACACTTGAACTGCACCAGACAGAAAAAAATGGATATATTTTGAGTAAACTGGGAGTTTGTAAAGAAAAAAAGGTTGCTATCGTACTCCGACATTCCTTAGTTGTGTGAATATTTTAGATTGCAAATGTTCAGTTCCTGAGCCTTAAAAGATCTGCTAAAGGTTTTAGTGAGGATTTGAATGGAATAAATTGATTCATGTTATTTTCACCTCTGGCAGGTGTTCTCACCTGTCCAGTAGAGCTGCTGTATCTCTTTAGGTGTTTAATAAACTCGGACCTGGAGGTGTTTCCGACCGCAATCAGCGCTGCACTGCCATTTGCCAAACTGTCAAAATCAGGAAGTGGTGGAGACTGTTAGCATTATTAGAAACATCATCATGTATTAACGTGCACTGTGATGCATTCAAGGCCAAAGAGCAGAAGATCGAGCTAATCTTCGTACACTGTGTACCTGGTGTTTGGAGCTAGTCCTTGAGGTGCGTGTGGACTCAGGCAAGGGATAGACATGATGCTGATGCTCAGATACAGGCCCTGATTGGTCACCCAGGACTCCTCCCCTTCTGTACACACAAATCAAAGACAGAAAAAGTAAGACAGAGAGTAGCTGGTAGCGATTAAAATCTGATTTGTCCATTTTAATAGAGAAGTAGTGGTTTTACCGGACTTTGGGTCCTGGTCTTGGTCCTGGTCCTTATCTCTGAGAAGCAAGAAATCAAGTAAATTTTTCAAACATGACAGAAGAGAAAATTTATATAACGGACCAATATCATCTAACACAGAGCCAGTTATTAAACTAATCATGGTAAAACAACAGCTTTGACTCAAACAGGCTCTCCTCCACACTGTTCTTAATAAATTTGCGTTGAGTTTGTTTCTGGTAGATTTGTGCTGCAAGTCTCTGTAGTAGACAAGCTGTTACGTGGTGTGTTTGCCTTTCTGGTTCAGCTGCTGAGTAAATGTAACAGCGCAGCAAACTAACAAACACTGTTGGTGTGGAACAATTACAGTCTCCTCTGAGTGCTTGTGACCTGTTTAAACAAATGCATATTGTTTTTTATGGTGGTCTGAAGACACTTTAGATGTACCATCCAACATCACAGAGCGTATGTGCGTGTTTGTGTGTGCGCGTGTTTCTCACCGCTGTACAAACAAATTGCTGTTTGACTTCCTTGCTGATAAAAAGGAGAGCTGACAGTCCTCCGGTCTGAGGGAGACAGAGAAAAAAAGAAATAAGAAACCAGCTAGTCCTAGACCTAGCTAGACCTCAGTCACACTTAGAGACCAGTTGGCAACCCGTTGGCAACCTCCAGTCACTAAGGAAAAATATGTATTTTATGAGTGATGAGTGGTTGCTGGAGGATGCTTGCTTTAAGCATGTGAAAATGGTGGCAAAGAAAGTGATGCACCAAAAATCACCTTGTGATTACTTGTGTTGCTATCAGATTGCCACATGGAAGACACAGACTCTAGCTTTAGCGAAATGATAAAAATGGGATGCTAATAGGAAACAGACAATTTTTTTGCAGACAAATCAGTGTCATCCATACATACTACGAGTGACCTCAGCAACCTTCCAGCAATCAAAAGCTTCACAAGCACCGTGGAGCACTGTGACCAGTTTCACTCAGCAACAGCTAACAACCTCCAGCAACCAAACAGTCATGGAATACAGTTTTCCTTAGTGACTAGTGGTTGCTATGGGGTCACTGAGGTCAGTCAGTCATGTCTGTGTGACTGAGGCCTTAGGAACGCACATTTACATTTAAAAGTAAAAATTATATATGTGTGTGTGTCACCTCAGCCTAGCCAGCGTCTTAACCAGAGCATACTCTCGCCGCCGTGACGATGGCATCCATCTCTTCTTTTCTGCCCTCGCTAAACTCCGCCCGCCAAAGCCAAACATGGCAGAGAAACCGAAGCACACCAATTGGCCATGAGACGAGAAGCTGCACATGTCCACCTGCTGCAGGTGACCTGCAGGCAGAGAGACACCAGCACACTGAGAGAAGACCCTTTAAACGATTCATTAGAAACAGTTAGGATGCAGCACACACACAGCTGTGTTTCCATCACTTCAGAGGACATCACACAACTCTTGCTCCAAGCCTTCACACTGAAAATGAATAATTTTGTAACCTTACTATGCGTTTGTACATTTTGTGGTTTTTATCCATACAAAATGAGACATACAAATACACACAGTCTAAAATACGGCTAATTAACAGAATGTGTGAAGCCGATTAATAACTCAGAGGACTGAAATGAATCTGAGGAAACATTATCAACGTTTCCTCAGATTCTTTTTATGTGTGTGGTAAAAAATGGCTTCCACGCCAAACACTGCTTACGGTTTTATTTTTCTACAGCCTTTGAACGCAGCACAAACCATAGAAATAACTAAAATAATTTTAAAAATAACCAGATTTTTCCATCAAGCTCCTTTACTGAGATGCTCCACCAGCTTTTAGATGGATACACACAAAGGCACACGCACTAAGCGGGCCATCTGGCCACATACCTGCTGTAACCTACTGAACTGAACTGCTGTCTCCGCACCTGTCTGTCTGACTGCCTGTCTGTCTCTCTGGACAGAATCTGATTTCCTCACCATATGGCGTGTTGTCAGTGTGTTTGTGTGTCAGTGTGTGTTGCGCAGGATTAAAGCTGAGACGGTCAGTGTGTCACCGAGATCAAACCTGCGGCGCTTCTTAAAAGGTCCAACCAATATTCATTTACATCACAAAGTCATTATCTTTCTGTTTGGCTCCTAATCCACCTTTAGGATTTATTTCCATACCATATTGGTAGCTCTTATTCAAAAATATAGTGGATGAAGTGGTTGAATGTAAAAAAAATATTTGTACCTAATATATCCTATATATATTAAGTACAAATATAATAATCAGTGAAAGTAAAAACACCAAAATGACTGAGTTAATTCAACAGTAAACCAACTGATTATTAGAAAGTTGTGTTAGCATCACATGAGCTGGATGACTGTTTCTGTTAGCAGTAAAATGCTCACACAAGTCATTTTTAAAAAATGCTGAAATAAATGCAAATCAACCAATAATTATCCCACATAAGCATTTAGGGAGGAGACAAAAGACATCCGTCAGAAGTCCTATATCTAAAATGGCACCTGTAACAGACTGCTGCACAACTGCAACATAAATGAATTTTAATTTATTTAAAGGATAGCCCCTTGAGATGCAGTATCTCGTTTTTATAGGGCACCGCTAAAAATGGACACATGAAACCACCAGTAGGAGGATTTAGGGCTGCTGCTCAGCTCCAAGGCTGTAACTTTAAACTTTGTTTTTTATTGAATTAAACCATAATTTCCCCCCTCTTGAAACGAGCTTTTCTAAAACATACTTTGAAAATACCCCAACTCTCTGTGGAGATGTTGTTATGACACTGTATGAGAAGGCTGCTGGGCTTTTTGGATTGATAGCATAGAAATCAAATTATTACTGTCATGTAATATGTCACAGTGATATGACTCTAATTACTATTATCATCAGAATGTGAAACATTCATTCTATTAACATTTAAAAACTCTAGAAGAGTTGAATTATTTGTTTATTTTATTGAGTTCATGTGAGCAAACAGCGAGCAGGGAGTCGACTCAGTGTCTGAGGAGCTGGTTAGTGCATCTGCTTTATGAGTTGAGTTTGTTGATGCTGTGAAACATCCTCATGGAGTAAGCTTGGAGACTTTTTCAGGACTTGTGGAAGTTCTTATAACTTCCAATGTTCAAGTTCTTGAGTAAATCATTAATGAAGGTAGATTTATAGTCATTCTGTGCCAAAGCAGAAATCACTGTAATGTGCCTGAAGTGAACAGTGTTCATAATGGAAAAAAAAAACAAAAAACAAAAAAAACAACTTTCTACACTTTCTACAACATTTCTACACTGCCCAGTACTAATTAGTAGATGACCTGCACAAAAATTACTGGTTTGTGGATAAATGCAGGTAAAAATGCAGACTCACATCTTTGTAAAGCAGGGTTCACATGTACCAGTTTCATGCTTCATTTATGCACTTGTAAATGGGCCGTATTGCTTGTACTTCTGGCATCAAAATGTCAAAAATCGAATTATTCAGACTGTTGTATATGAGTTACATCAGGCCGTTGTTACTCCCAGACAGCTAGCTTGGCTAATCCTAATTGCTATTTGAACCTCGACCAGCTTGCCTTCTGGTTGTTCGTTACTGCTATGATGACGGTGCCAACAAAGATACCCCTCCAAACACCAGGAGGTGTTTGGAATATTAATTTAATATATATCAATATCATATTGAATCTGTTTGTGAGTCTAGAGATACAGTATGTTGAAGTTTCAGTGTATAGGCTATTGCATTGCTTTGCGTTTTGCTATATCAGAAAAGAGAAATTCACATATTGTTAAAATTGTCTCTATTTTTGTCCCACTCATTGTTGCAGTGAAGGTTTCTAACAAGCCAGGCTAGAAAAGACTCAGCAGGTTTTGAACTTCTGGAAAAAAATTTAAACTCTGTGAGCAAGTAGTTTTTCGTACAACAATGAACGAGGCAAACTGCTTTAAACAGGTAAGGTGATCATTCATGAGATTATTGTAAAGTGGTCAAGGTGGTGACTTCCATGTCATGCTTTTATATATATATTTATGTTTAGAGATCAGGACAGAATTGGCCCCCTTATGAAGGATTTTCCAGCCTCTGTTAAACAGAGCAATGAATTTTGAACACAGCTTTTCCAAACATTCGTTTAATTTTGGATGCTTATTTTGTTGGATAGCAGCCTGCAGCCATTTGTTGTAGTTTTCGCCTGTAGATCTCTACAGCTGAAATGCTTTTTTAGATACAAAAAAACAGCCAGAAATACAAAAGGTCTGACACACACCTATAAACAAGCTAAGGCCATTTCACATACAGAAAATTTTCAGTGTCAGCTGCAACTCCCAAACATAAGTTGATAAAAGGTCAACAGTTAAGCCGCTATTTTCAAGGGATGCTCAGGCTCTGGTAACCGTAGCAACAGCACTGATGCGTCCGCCCCTGTTAGTAGTTTAACGTCCAGCAAGGAGATCATGTGATTGTGGATGAGCACACCTCATCAGTGTTATGAAGACAGGAAAATTCACCTGCAGTCACCTGTTGTGCGTGGGAACAGCTTCCTACCTGGGAATTTTAACAGTTTTCTATTGTTCAGGAAGTAGTCTCATTAGGGCTATTGAATTTTCCCATCTGTCTCACACACATACAAACTCAGCTCGCAGTATTAATTAGTGACAATGAAACATCATCACACGATAAGCTGTCATTCAAACACAGCTGCCCGCCCTGCTGCTGGGTGATTGGTTACCGTGTTTACCTGACAGTGTGGTGGTCAGAGACAAAGGGGGCGGGGCTGCTGCGAGCAGTGTAAACCTGTGATTTAGTGATTTCAAGTGAAACAGACCCTGTTGTTAGACATCTGTCTGTTCACTCCCACCAGAGTCCAGTCTCACCGTCTGTCTGCATGTTTGTTTGTTCTTAAACACTGTCCCTGCTGCCGGACTGACATTCAGCCAATCACACCAAAGCTTAGCAAGAGCTGAGCTTTGGTGTGATATGCTTTAAGGAAATTAGTCTCTTACACAAAGAACCTGGCTATGATTGCCACAGATTTAATATTAAAACAGAACAGATTTTTGTCCTTGAAAATGTAAAATCTTGGACTGATTTATAAAAAGGCATAGACGACGTTAGGTGATCCAAATATAGATTTACTAAAGACAATTCCAACCAACCCCAATCTATGTAACAGATCTACAACATGTAAGCTTTACCCAAGACGATGTGGAGGGCTGCAGTGACTGGATCTCTGACTCCATGAACAGAACAGGAAACCACATCTGTGGAACCTGCAAACATGTGAAGACAGACCGTTAATAAAAGTACTTCATGTCGTGTTTTTGCATACCAGCATACCAAACCTTATAAGACCTTAAAGCAGTGGTTCTATATGAGAATGCCCTTGCTTACCAGCTGGGATGATTCCCAGTGGCAGTGCGGCTCTCACTGGTTTTTCTGGGGAATCTGCATCCAGCTGGGCTCTGAGGACCAGAGCATGACACAACTCTGCAACTGAACCATCTCCACCGACGCACACCACCCTGACGGACAGGTGGAAAAAAACTAGTGTGAGAGTGGTAAAATAACACAGGAAGTAACATAAAAGGGTAACCGTCTTTCGGTCTAAATAAGGGTTTATTGTGAAGCTCAATGAGGTGGTTATACTAAGTCAAGGACACAGACTTCACTGACATTATAGTCCTCTTATAGCGCTTTTGAGGTCTGCTTGAAGTGTTGATCCATTGTTGGCTCATTGAAATGTGAAGTCTCCATAAACGCATGGTCACAAAAAATTGTCACAGACACAATCTTGGCACCTAATGACAACATTTACATTATTTGGACCCAAGCGGACTTAACAAACTCACAGCCACAACAAGTATAATACACCTAGAAGACATTTCACAGATCTCAAACTCCTGATGATTTAAAGGAAAACCATCCAGCAGAGGATGTGGCTTTTCTAGTAAAATTGACAATTTGTTTTATAATACAACAGGGTAAGTAACCTCAATGTTTTTGGGCACTAACTAAAATGTTTGTGCAGGGTGGTCCTGAATGTGTGATGCTGAGTACTTATTTCTTTTAACTATTGATGAATAGCGAAGGATGGTGAATGGATATTTATAAATACTCTAGGTTGTATTTTCACTGCAAAGGTTTGTATTTTAATTAAGCACAAATATTTTTCAACATTTCTTGTTCAGTAGAAAAACATCAGTACCAAAGTTTTGATACTAGAATTAGACTACAACTAAACTAGTAGACACACAGAAACTGGATTTCAGAATGACTGTGATGGGTTTTATTTTGAAAAGCTCCAGTGAATTGCTCTCCTACAGTCACCAAAGTTCATGACCTCTTTAATATTTATGATTGCTGGGTTTTTTTAAAGGTCTACACACTAACAGGCAGCAGTATAATCCATGTCTTGTTTTAGAATCTTAAGTTAAGTGTTAAAATCGTAAGTTTAGAATAAAGTTGACTATAAAACTAAAACAAATATATTATATTTAACTCATGGTGTGAAATGCTTTCGAGCAATATTTTAACCATAACAGATGGAGAGAAAAAAAAAAGAAAGAACTCACAATCACAGGGTGAGAAAAAAGATACACTCTGGACAGTCTATCATATGGTAAGCTCAAAGAGACAGAGAGGGAATCATTTACAGTCACATTTCTACTAATGACCCATACAGAGTCACACGAAAGATAAAACTCATATTTTGATCGCTTTTGAAAAAAAAAGTTGTATTTTATTTTAGGGTAGGGTGGGAGGCAGTTATTGTTTGTTAGTATTAATGTAAAAAAGTAATAAAAAAAAAAGTGAGAAAGTGAGAAGGTTCATCTTCCGAGTCTTTATTTGCAGTAAATGGGAGGTGAACAGTCTCCGCCCCCTCCCCCTCTTCCTGAGTATGGGATTACCTGGAGCTGTAGTCGCCACGGTGACAGCCAACCTAATTGGCAAATGTAGGTTTCAACCAAATCACACACACACACACACACCCAACCACCTACCCACACTCAGCAGCTAGCTTAGCAACGCGGAGCTAATCTTCTCTAAGCACATTAAGCTTTATGAGGGCTGAGCACAAAAGCTGCTTACACACACACACACACACACACACACACACACACGCACACACACACACGCACACACACCATCAGAAAAAGACTGATGAGAATTTGATAGCTGCTTCTGTACTTGTAGCTGCTGTTCTATCATTGGAATGAAAAGTTATTTTAACTTTAACAACAAAGTGAACAGTTAATGTTTGGTATTTGATCATCTTACCTGTGTGTGTGTGTGTGTGTGTGTGTGTGTGTGTGTGTGTGTGTGTGTGTGTGTGTGTGTGTGTGTGTGTGCGTGTGTGCATGAGGTGTGTGAGATCAGTCATGGTCAGTGTGTTTCAGTGTCCGCCTTTGACAGTAAACTGCTATTTGATTATCCAGTTCACCTCAGTTCAGCAGCAGGATGATGTCACAATTTAAACATGGTAACTTTCATGTCAACGCACTTACCATTAAACAGTCAACTATTTCCAACTGTAAGATTCCACTATCACCTGTCCTCTTGAGGAATAGGGACCAGCTGATCGTCAGCTGGCTTTCTTTTAACCTGGACCTGAGATCATTTATCTTGCCTTCAAGTGCATATTTTAGACTCATCCAGTTTAAAAGCTACAGACAGTTTCATCGATCTCACAGTGCGGACAGTGGATTGCTTTAAGCTTAACAAACAGAAACCTCTACACACGATACAGCAGATCATCTGATCATCTTCAAGTGCGTTGACTACTTTCAGCACAATTAAAGGTGGCTCCACCTGTCTGTAATCAGTCACACATTGGTTCAGAAAGCAACATATTATGATACTGAACATCTATGGATGAATAACAACAAAACTACATTTAAACTGTAAATTATTTTTACAATAATTTCTTACTCTGGATTTTTTAATGGAAAAATCCTGATGAATCAAGCAATGATTTTGAAAGCAAAAAAGATATAGATGACTAACCCATCATATTCATCCAGTTTGCATTCCTTTATCACTGAGAGAGCATGACCCTTCCTCTCTGTTACTGGAGAGAGAAAGACAGGTAAAGACAGAGAGAGGGGGAAAAAATAAGTAAGCAGATGGAGAGACATTGAGATGGACAGAGATAAAGTGTTCGTGCATATGTGTGGTCAGATGAAGTGTGTGTTTGATGACTGCCAAAAAAAAAAAAAAAGTGGGACAGCGGATATCACACCATCTGCTGAGAGGGGGAGAGTAGAAGCAAACAGGAGGAATCAAGAAAAAAGGAGGAGAAAAAGGAAACATGGGAAAAGTGATGAGACAAGAAGATAGGAAATGAGAAGGAAAGAGGACACAAGGATATGAGGCAGGAGAGGAAAACAGAAAGGTGAAAAGAGGACAGGTGGAAAGAAAACAAGAAAACAGCAGAGAGGAGAAGCACTGGAAATGAGACAAGAGCAAATGATTGGAAACAGAAGGAGACAGGAAAGGAGAGGAAAAAAGATGGAGAAGATGAGGGGAGGAGTGCAGAGGAGGCTGTCTCCCTCTGTCAAAACAGATGGGCTAAGCTCCGCCCCCTATATCAGGTTACCTAGCGACCAGAAGCTGCCATTAACTCTGACCTTTGGACTCCCTCCACACACACGCGCGCACACAGATTTCAGTATCATGTCTGGTGTCAGTAAAGATCTAGTTGTTAAACCCTGCCTCACATAGTTTTATATTTAAAAATAAACACACAAAAATAAGTACATTTATTTATATTTTTATAATTATAATTTTTCAGTGTTTCTACTGAGCAGAAAAATAAACACTTGGATGGACTAACCTGTGATGTCAGTTCGGATGTCAGCCATCTTGAATAGAGGAGCCACGTGGTCTCTGTAGATGTGAACGGCCTCCTTCTTGTGGCTGCTAGGGTTGATGAAGACCTTCAGATTTGTAGGACGGTTGCTGAACCCTGAAAACACGCACACATGCACACACACATTTAGCAGGTGCATCATAGGTTGGATTTTGAAAGAAAATGAAACCCTGCAATGGTTGGTTAGCTACACTAGTGATGGGCTATGAGCCAGTTATTGTTCAACAGACTAAAAGATAGTTAGGTCCATACATCTTAGCACAGTAATACCACAACAGTGAATTTTAAACAAAACAATGTAGATGTGAAGTAGACACAGCTTTAATTCAAAAGCTCTCCATTAACACTTCAGTAATTACAGTGATTTTCATGCAGAGTCCCCCCATTTTCAGAGGATCAAAAACGACTCCATGCATTACTAAGAGATTTTGCCCAGATGTGCAAACCAGTTGGTGGCAAACTGGTTCACAGTCATGAGTTTTTGATCCTTTGAGTCTCCTTTATTGAGACTCAGTTGCACTTCATGTTTATTAGCATTTAACAAATATCTGAGTAGTGACACCTGCTTTTCAGGAGTGGCTGTGTGATGACGTTACCGGCAGCACGTGAAGCAACCATTGCAGTGGGATACACTGGCGGCTTTACACTGCTACTAGCATAGCTCCTTGGCTGTAGGTAATATTTCCAACTACACCACATGCCACTGTGTGTTTTGGTCCACAATATAGTGCCCTTAAAAGTCAAAAATGAAAGAAAAAAAAATGTGTTCATGTGCTACTTTTAGTGAACAAAAAAGATAAAATAGAAAAATTACTGCTGCTGATTACATAAAGTTCTGGATTATAAAATGTCTGTGAACTATCTTTCATCATAGCCAGCTGAGGGTTCCACTTCACGTTCCTCTGCAGCTGTGTTATGATAGGTGAAGCAGTTTTGTATGTTTATTTATGTGTACTCAAGAAGTTAAATAACTTTTCATTTTGGACAATAAGATTTGGAAGACTGCAAATATTTTTCTAAAAATACTAAAATTTTAATATGAGCTCTTAATGCGTTAATTAAAACAACAATCAACTTACCAAGTGATGACAAACAGCCCAACAGCTGACTGTCCTTACTTGAACGCTGATCACAACACACTTTGTTATCGTGGCTGACATTAAGTATCTGAACAAACTGAAGAACATCTTCACTTAAAATTCTGCATGGATCAGAAACTGACTTCCACATGCCCTAAATTTAAAGTATTAACCCATATATATATATATATATATATATATATATAAATAAACAGATAACACGTGTCTGTACACCTGCTTCAGTATATGTGGAGGTGGCCTGTTTGATACATCAGAATATTGTTTACATCTACAACACTGGTTGATGGGTGTGTGTGTGTTGTTTTATAATATCGACACACTACACACATACACAGACCCCCTGTATGACGCATCATTAGGCAGATTTAGAGACCGCATTATGAATCCCTCTGGACCATCTCAGATCAATACACACACACCAGCTCCATTATCCCTCTCATTACTATAATCTGCTCCCAAAAGGCCGTGACCTCGCCCTGTTAATGACCCCCACACACATATACACAATGTGCACCTCCTGCCATCACTCCACCCCACGGCTCTGACCAGGTTCTCCGGAGCTCCTGTGAGGAGCTACCCGACACCTCCACATCTCTCTAGTGGTCCCCCATCAAATACCAGAATCTCCACCCTGTCGTTGTCCCACAAATCTCAGGCCTATTTCCATTCTAAGCAACACATCTGTGCTGCAGCACTAAACAAACAAGCCTGAATAAACCTACATTTCTTTTTGGTTTTATGTGGAAATTGCAAACAATTAAAAAAGGCCTCAAAAGAACCTTATCTCTTACTGATCTTATAATTATAAGAAAGGACCTTTATTCATGTGTGCTGTAATTGATTCTCCTTCAGTTTAACGAGCATGGATTATTCTGCTCTTTAACTGCTAATAACAAGAGAAATGGAAACCAAACCAACCTTTATTTTGAAATCTGGAAGTATTCTTTGGTGGGATTGGCAGTACTTTTAAAGTGGCTTATGAAACTGCCGATCAGGTCAGTATTTAGTTCAGTAAGTTCAATACCAGGAAACCCTAAACTGGGATTGTTGCAGTATCCTCTGTCCCACACTTGTGAAATCTCTTTTGACCAGTGTTTCTTAAACTGAGCATTTAAAACACAGGAGCAGCTGTTTTGACCACGCAAAGGCGTGGTTAAAACAAGGATCTGTGCATTTGAAAATGAGTGGGTTTTCCAGAATGTTGAAAAATAAAGACTTAACACTTAGACCAGTTACACTTCTTTTAGAGAGTGTATACTGGCAACTTGCTTATAAAAGCTAATAATGTGTTAAAAATGACAGAAATCACTCACACTGTTGATGCATAAACAGATGCTTTCTGTCATAAAGGAACCATCTTCACAACAAATGTAAGAAGACGACAGACTCACAGATATAAAGAGGTCAAGTATCCATCAGATCATCTCCGAGCCTTGACCAGTGACAGGTTGCTATGGCGCTGCTGAAATGTTACCATGGTAAACAATCCCCGTGTCATCAAGGAGTAGTGTTGAGTTTCTGACTGAGCACTTAAGACTGGACTGCTGCATGTTGTTTACAAACAGACTCCATCTTATTATAGCTTTCAAACATCATTTTTCCTGTCTGTGTATGTTCTCAGTCATCCAGGTCATCGCAAACCCAAGGAAATCCAAATCTTTCGATCCTTAGATCATTTTTAATTAGTTCACAGCTTCATTACCTACACAAGTTTTCTGCGAAGCATTTAACGTGCAGTCATTAGATCAGTCTCAGTCTGTATCAGTTTCTCTAGTGTGAAAATGTGCTACTTTACACTTTTTTTTAAAATCACTGCAAGTTGAAACATTTTACAATTAAGGGGGTTTTAATTATAAATGATAGTCACAGCGGACAGTGCGGGCTGACAGAGGTTATAGGAAAAGGGAGGAAGGGTATCAATATCAAACTATTAGTGACATGGTGCTCAGAGCATTTGCACCCATGGAGTATGCAGCTCAAACGCTCACATATCTGGTTGTCCACCACGATGACATGCTTCACTAGTTCAAGATTTTGGATTTGAGGAGGAACAATCTAGACAACACCTTTCTAAAAGAGTGTAAGGAAAGCCACCTCAGATGGTAACACTCATCCTCCTGGGAGTCCCTGGAGCTCTTATATATAAATAAAAGGCGATGGAAAATACAGTGCATGGGTAGCAGGTTCCTGAATTTAATAAAACACAACTATACTCCATTTCTAGAGGTAAAACCTTGCATTTTGATGTTGTCCTTTTGACCATATGGCAACTTACAGTACCACTGGACTAACAACACCCATTTTACTCTGATACTGTGACCCCGAGGTTTCTGTAAGCAAGCAGCAACCGCAAGACAAAAGATCTGGGAGGGGTCGCTGTGGCACCTGGTGACCTATGAACGCTCACTTCAGTTGTCCTGCAATTTCCACCGACCTGCCAGTCTGTTGTGGTGTTAAACAACTGCAGTCAGTCGATCCTGCAGACTGACTGTGAGTATGGAATTGGAGTCTATACAGCAGCAGTTCTCGCCTTTTGTCACTGACTACCATTCACTTTCTGAACAGCATTCTGCAGCTGCTTCACACAGCAAACAACAAAAAATGAGGTTCCAGAAACAGGAAGTGTCTGCGCTGTGCACACCATTGTGCAGATGACTGTTCAGACCCGAAGGTTAAGAAGTGGTGCCGGCGTCGGCTGCGGCGGGACTGCCCGCTCGGTGACGCCATGATTCGCACAACAATACGCTTTTCACACTGACCTCTGGCTGGAAAATAGGCTTAATGTCCGCACAGCGGCAGAGCTACTGACTGTGTTTACCTTTCACACACACACACACACAGGCACACAGACTCCTCTGCTGCGGTGTGTAAAGTCACAAAAGCAGTCACAGCTTGATGTGCAGTGTGACCACTTGAGCTGACACACGACCTGCGGGCCATTCATGTCTGTGAGTGTGAGTGCGAGCCCATAAGACAAAGACTTGAAGAAGTTGTGACTTTGCTGCAGGGCCTCATGGGTAATCTGGTTTGATAGACAGACAGATGGACAGACAGACAGGTGACCAGCGATAACATGTCAGACTGATGCCATGGTGATAAAAGGACAGTAATGTGTGTGTGACCTCTGACCTCTTCATTTATGGATAGCTTGTAATGTCTCTGTTGCAGTTGGCGTGGTTGGACAAATAGAGAAGAACTGAAATGTAAAATGTGTCCATGTGAGTTAAATCCACACAACAAGCACTTCAACATTTCTATTGTGTGTTAACTGTCAGCCACGCACCGCCCACTACAGTGCACCTGGGAAATCAGCGTCTGGGAACGTCCGACTGCAGCAACATCCAGAGCTTTAGCAGCAGGTGGTTGGGCAATGAAGAGGTTATTCTTCTGAAAACTTTATGCTCTATAGAAAAAATATACTGATGTCTAAAGAAACTAAACAACTGTGACATCTTCTGCACTTTATTTGATACTTGAGACTGAGTCAGAGACATAAGATTGTTTTTTGGGGGGGGGTTTCCTAGCATGGTGAAGAAGAACTGAACTCAAGGCTCGGACGTCAAACACATTGCACACCATTGGTTGAACTTGAACACCAACAACAGCCCAGCCCCTAAACAAGACCACGCTAAAGCTATTGCAGCTGCAGATTCAGAAATATTGCTGAAAATCTGAAACTAGAAAAAAGTCATGTCTCCATGCTTTCAGCCTTGCAGTGTGTGTTGTCTAAAGCTCCAAGCCTCAGAGATATTTCTTATGCACTAAATATGAGGTGGTTGTATACACACGTGTTCATGCAGACAGTAACTAATCTCTCCTGCAGACAACATGATTTAACTGCTGACAGCACTTTACTGAGTACTGCTAAATGTGTGAGTGCGTGTGTGTGTAATCCTTTGTTCCTGTGGATTAGCAGATTAGTTCTCTGGTCTGATGTAACTGTGACTCACCTCATTAAACTGAGTGATGAACAGATAGAAAACAATGAAATTTTAATCTGAGCAGCTAGCACTGCATCATCATGCAAATCATCTGCAGACGTACAAAACACAAAGGTGTGCGTTTTAAATCCTGGTATATCTTGGGCAGCTGCAGTGCTGACTGACCACGTTGGCTTAGAAAAATATCAGCACAGATTTCAGCTCAGTTTTGTTCCAAATAACATAAGGTTTTGAAATGTTATACATTAAAGCCCCTGAACTATAATAATGGCAGGGTGTCAGCACATCTAAGCAGAACAACCAGTAAAATAAACTGCAACCTTTCCACAGACTGTAGAAAAAACTGCTTTATCAATCTAAACAGTTTATGGTCCAGACTAACTTGCAAGCCAAAGTTTTAATGCAATCACTTGCAGTAAACCACATGTTTAATTACTATGTTTAGTATTTTAGTTAAATGTGTTAGCATGCTAACATTTGTTAATTAGCAAAACAGATTGTATATAAAAGCTTTTGTAGCTTTTGGACTTGACAATTGTAGGCAACACACAAGTGTTTTAACCCTGGATCCCCCCCAAGCAAGGGACAAATCCTGTGGTTGCAGAAACACTTTAAGTTTCTGGGGGGGAAAAAAGCTCTGTTTCCATGATCTGAAACCTCTGTGAACACTGATGATTTTACGAGCTAGTTTCAAGTCTTATTCAATAAAACATTGATCTTGTAAATTATGATCCCCATTATTATCAGAAAGGAGCATGAAGCACGGTTATCTCACTTGGTAATGACTTGTGATTAACATGACAAGAATCCTCCACTGTTTGGTTTCAAAGTCAGACACCCAACAAAGGCAACGTCTGGTTTTAAAAAGCTAAGATCTTAGCTTGAAGCTAAGCTTGAAGTGTTACAATGGGACTTCACTGAATGAGCACTCAACACAAAGAACAGCTAAGACTGATGGGGATAACCGTTTTTTTTAGATATTATAACAAATTAAATGAATGAAAAATGTATTATAATTCAATCTTCCAACAATGCAAACATTTCCAACACTTTTCTACTTGATTTTTCTTTTTCAGCTTTTCCAAACAGAACATTCTTGTTAATGAAAGTGAACATCAAAAACAAGACTTTATGACTCCAAAATCAACTATTTGCTATGGTAGCATCTCATCAGCAAAAATACCAAATAATCAGAGCCCAGAATACAGTCCAGCATCAGAATTTTGTTATGCTACAAAAAGTGTTGCCTTTTATTTACAGTTGTGGGTGTGGCAATTTTTAGGATACCTTACTGACAACATTTGCACAAAAACATGTAGTAATACAGATGTTGTATGTCTAGTAAGAATCCATGTATTTATTCGTTCATTTAACAGTTGTATTAGCTATGATGTAAATAAAAATATGAGTTTAAATTTGTAATGTGTGAATTTAATGACAAACTCCATTTAAATAAGTCTCCATTCATCAAACCATCTAATGGACAGATGCTAAGCGTGCTACTTATAACAGTATTACTCAGCAGTGTGTGTGTACAGTTTAATCATCTTAGAGTATGACACTCACTGAAGCACTGACTCACGTTTCTCCTGTTTCAGCTCTTATGTAACACAAACTGCCAGTCACATTTTCAGTGAGTCCGTCACAGTTGGATGTTCAATGTGGGCCCAAGGAACCTCAAAACTGGGTCTCATCCATTAGCTTGGTCAAATTTACATTCCACTGTTTTGTCCATAGCAATTTCACAGCATCTGGGTGTTACTTTCAACATTTTAACAGGATAACAACAGAAACCATGAACCCCAAATGGTTAATGGCTGACCAGCTCCACCATCTAAGACAAAGATGCTGAATACTGACAAAAATACTTTAAACTCCTGGTTTGCTTTTGTGTGCTTGCTGCTTGAATTGCATGACAGTCTGAATGTCTGTGTTACCTGTGAGCAGCTCCTTCAGGGTGTTGTACCAGGTGTGTGTGTGTTCTGAGGAGGCATTGTGGAGGTGCAGCGTGTCCTCCTCCAGCCTTCTCCCTTTCCTCCTACACCAGAAGAGAGCCACACCAAGCACGGGTCCCCCTGACTCCTGGCCCGCAGCTCGCCTCCGCTTCACCTTCACTGCAAATATGTCTTGCAGCAGCACCTCACCTGACTGTGGGACACCAGTCTCACCTGCAGAGAAAAAAGTAGTTAACAAACAGCACTTGAACACAGCACACTGTTTAATGAACAAGGTACATGATGGACATCTGAGAGGTTTGGGTACGTTTTGAAAGGGACCAGGCTGTATGTCTGTGAAGGTTCTCAGTCATCCAGGTCATCCAGGCTAACAGTTTCCCTCTGCTTCCAGTCTCTGTGCTAAGCTAAGCTAAAAACATCCTTGACCAGTGTGAACAGATGAAATGCTGAGATTTACCCAAAATGTCAAAATGCCATTTTTTCTTTTTATAAACATTAAGACTAAAGTCTTATTAAATAAAACATTCAAATCCACTACGAAAAAGTAAGTGTATAAAGTGTATACCATTAACAACAAACTCTGTGATTAGTTTGTCTGATTGATGGTTTTACTGTATGTTTAAATTCTTTTGAATAGTCAATCAAATATGAACGCTGCACATTGCTGCTGTCAGCAGAATGTAAAGTACAGCATCAACAAGTACAATCGTGAAAGAATTCTGAAACCTGATTGGCCAGCATCATATTAATCTTCTAATCCTCCGAGGATAATATTAGCATAGCTCAGACAGTCCATTCAGAGTTACATCACATTTTACTCAGACACAAAGAAAACACTTTGTGTCTGAGTGAGCTTGTGCGTGGCTCATTTGCAGATGACAGTAGTGCAAGTACTTTGGAGTTTTTTTGTGCTTTTTTTGTTGTTGTTTTTTCACAAGGAGCTTTTGACTTAAATGTAAATACCCTTTACAGTATGTAAACTTCTAAACAAACTTATGGAAACTTTTGCTTTCACACCAAATTAAACTGGTTGGTTTCAGTTTAAAAAATGTGAGAATTTGCCAATTTCCCTGGATTCTGATTTATCAGATAAGAGATGAGGATATAAGGAACACCTTTTTCATGATCGATTCAGCCCTCCTTTTATACTTAGTGTTAAAAGAAGATGTGATCACCTTCATCCTATGATAAAATATTTCTATCCTGATGTAAGTGGTCACTTCCAGGACTACTAGCCTACGTCTATGCATACTCAAACAACAAACATGGAAACTGTGACACATTGTGTGTTCTAGTACCTCTCTATCAGAAAAGTCTGTTGGATCAGACAACACGAGCCAGCATTCGCTCCTTACATGCATCAGTGAGCCTTGGCCGGCAATGACCCTGTCGCTGTTTCACCACTGTTCCTTCCTTTTGTGTGAACAAAATCCTCACTTGCTACCCAATATATTCCATCCACAATGAAGAGATAATCAGTGTCATTCACTTCACCTGTCAGTGGTCATAATATTAGGACTGATCATGTATACACCTGCGTTAAACACCACCACCATCATCAAAACAGCAAATGGGGAATTATCTTTTAAAGGATTGTGTTCCCTCACTTCAGCAGACGTCCAGAGATGAGATACAGTGTCACAGTGCAGTAAAGCTGCTCTGGCAACACCTCACTAAAACATCTTTCTTCTGCCACAAAAGTAGAGCTCAAGCACATCCAGAAGGTTTTTTTTGAAACTTATAGCAGGAATTTTAATAACTTCTCAACAACTGCACACTTGTTGATGAGAATTTATTGTCTATACTGATATTTAATTCAAAATAACAAACTTTTTAAATGAAATAAGAACAACTGACATGTCCAAAACAAAATCCAATATTTACAGTACCAATTTTGTCAGTTACTAAGGCTAGTTTTCTTAAAATTAAGCATCATTTAAATTTTCAAAAGTCGTCACATCAGAGAAAATTTATAGACATTTTATCAGCCTGAATTATAAAAGTTTACTTGAAGACCTTTGTAATAATTCACAGAGAGAGTCTGTGCTTACAAACAGACAGACAAACACAACCAATTACATACTCCCTCCCTTTGGGGGGAGAATAATGAAAATGGCCATATTAGATGTGTAGCTTTAGAGACATACGCATGGCACAGCTGGTAGATGTACATAAACAAAAACAAACTCCACTTTAATCACCAGAAACATTCAGATCTACAGAGATATTTTCAAAAAAAGAATATTTTAATCATCCCAGATTTAAAACATATAATGGTGCACTTAAACAGTATTCATTTAATACTGTTATAATCTAACAATCGCAAAACAGGGGCCTCTTGGCATCTCATTTAATTTGAACTCAAACAGGTTAAGGAACATGATGGAAAATGTGCAGCCCCATAACAAACCCAGAGTAGGAAAATCAATTCTGTGCTCAAAGAGACAAAAAGAGATATTAACTTGATGCAAAGCACCTGTACAGTACAGTGTAAACAGCTCATAAAGCTTATAAATGATAGCTGATTAACCCCCTTCTCTATGAAATACCTCCTGCTGTTATCAAACACCAAATATGCCCACGCCACCCTCCCCTGTTCCCCAGAGAGACCAGCATCCATATGTCAGGGTCACCGTGTGTAACAACAGTCTATCTGGTTGTTGTTGCTCAGTCTTCATTCATTGTGTCCAATTAATATTATTTGCGTTTAAAGTATTTGTCTTCTGAGTCAAACGAGAGGTTAAAGGTGAGGAATCAAAACCATTTTTATCATTTATGCATTTTAAATTTGAGAAAAAACACAAGTGGATTTTGAAAGCAGAAAAGTAAGTCAAGGCAAATTACTTTATTATCGTAAATTATTTCAAAGTGGCTTTAACATATTAGCAAGCACCCTCTATCCTCGGTTTCCTCCACATCTAAGAAAGACAGACATTTAATACATTTTTAAAAACATATCAACATAACATATAACTTTAAAATAGAAGTAAACACAACAGAAGTAACCCCTCATTTCTTTAGATTTTACTTCCACAGAGTCAGTAATTTTTAAAGTGGTCTTGAGCAACAGGCTTTCTGAAGGTCTTTCAAAGTTTTTCTTTGGACATTGGCTGCTTTTTCACTCATTTTCAGTCGAGTTCTTGTCTACAACCATCTGTAAAACACAGTGGAGGCTCTGTCATGATTTGTGTCAGTCAATAGTGTTGGAGATTGTGTCTCAATTGATTAATTATCAACACAGAAAAGTACCATCAGATTTTGTTCCACCATGCAATATGACCTGGAAGGCATGAAAGGCATGACTGGAAACGGTTAAATTTTTCAGCATGACAATGATCCCAAACATACTGCCGACGCAGTAAAAGCATACCTGGATAGAAAAACATACAGCAGAACACTGTCAGGGGTAGGAAGATGATTTTCCATCTAACCCGATAAAGATGACTCTGATCTGAGCTGACAGGACCTACAGAGTCACTGTGAACACACACGCACACGTTGGTTCATTCCCAGATGGAGATGAGATTCCCATCAGGTCCTCACATCCTGCTGTGCTAACACACACACACACACACACACGCACGCACACACACACACACACGCAC